CATTACACTTCTTCCAGAAAATTCCAAGAACAAAAGTATATCAGTCAGAGAGAAAACAAGTTTATTAGGATGGGCTTTTATAGAGAATTTTTCATGTGTAAATAGTAATTTCAAGTGAAAATTTGTTTAAATTACTTGAAATACACATTATCATTTCAATATTATTACTATCTAGAAAAAAAAAATCTTTATTTATCCAAGGTTGGAAAATTCAATCAGCCATTAATTACAAATATAAAATTAATTGATTATTTGATTCTGCAAAAATATTCATCTGAAATTAAATAATTAAATTCTTGAACACATTCCAAAGTCCATACACACAAATACATGGAGTGCCAATTAAGTGGATGAACATCTAAGCTAATAAATCAAATTCACATAAAAATTGATTCATTTTTTTGTATAAAAGATTTTATCCTGGCATATTCTTACACTTTCTTTGTTGCCCAGTTTTCCATGTTTACCAGTTCTTGTGAAAATTGGTTGACAATGCTTAAATGACAAGATGGCTAAAACATTAACAATCTCTACGAGGATGACTCATGGTCTCTTCGGCTTAAAAATCAATTTCTGCCGTCAAGCCCGGAATCTGCCGTTTCTCTCAGGGTGGTGAAAATGGGCTTAAGTCAGGCCTCAACTGATAATACTGAATATTATCTCCAATCATACTCCAAATATGGTCAGGAGTATTGATCGCGGGATGGGAGAGCACAGAGGAAGTGAATTATGCAACCCTGAGCCAAAAAGACGTCAAGAACCCCAAGAAACATGGAGGGCTAGAAGATTTTGGACTTCTTTTGACAAGTGACTCATCTCTACACTTTATTAATGTTTTTATTTCTTCCAATTTGGAAGTTTCCGTGGTGGCGGCTGTCAGAAAGGACGGAAACGTGCAAAATCTTAGAAAATAAACGCTAGCTGGTTTCATAACATTGAAAATAATATACTGGTCCGTTTCATGCACTAAACGCCAATAAAATTTCAATGAAGCATCAAAAAAATGTTATAAATAACACTTTAAATAAATTTTTTTTTACAGAATTGTTTGAAAATAGTCCTTATGAGCTTTCATTTATTTAATCTGCTTGAAGTGTTTATTTCATTTTTGAATGGAAGCCTAAAGCACAATGTTTTATGAATAAACTCATTATTGATATACATGCAGTAGCACTTTAATCATTTATATGACATAATTTATTTATACCAGTACTTATAAAGTCATAAATGATGAATTGATAAAATATATTAATTATATTTGAAAGAACCTACAGAAAATTCTGGTCCAATTTTGAAACACTTGTGAATTTTTCATGTAATTAAAATTATATTTAGTGATTTGATCTCATTGAAATAAGAACTTCACAGCATTTCTTTTATCATAACTTGAAAATATCAATAATCAAAGTGAAAGTTGAAAAGATCCATCAGTAACAATAATGCAATTGATCCATCCTTATCTTTGATAATTGTTCAAAATAGAACAGGAATAATACAGTATAAAGGAATCAGGATACTAGGGCTAAATCTTCAACCATCACTTTCCCGCCGAGGGGCTTGGTTTCAAGTCAATCTGGGCCAATATACTTGTTCCTTTTAATTCTCTTGTAATTTTAAGTCTTCCTCTCCTAGGCCTTTGAGGATTTTTTTTCCCCCCAGGAATGTCCTTTATGTGACTTTTATACATTTTGCCTTTCCATATTTAAAAAAAAATCATTACTCTTCCGTTTAAAAATATATCTGTTTAAAAATATATCTGTCTTAGAATATATAAATCAGTGTGAATTGGTCCTGACCACATGGTCAATTTTTTTCTTCAGTGGTCACTTTTACTCAATAGGTTATGTGGGGTCAAATTCCGATAGCTCTTCGTATAGAAATGATTAACCAGCCATAAATCGTTCTCTCTCAAATATTAAATCCATCAAGAATGCTTCATTATCAAAATTGCTGATGAAAAATGAAGATCCTATAGTTTATTTATGTGAGGGCACAATTTACTCTACACAGAAATTTTAGTCAAAGTACAACACCCTTTAAACAAATACTCATAATAAAACAATTTCTGAAGAAAATACATTTTATCTCAACTCCCTGGTATGTTTTTATTTTATCCCCCCCTTTTTTAAACAGGTTTTTTTTTTTAACTTTCACAGCAAATTATGCTTTTTTTTTTAAATTAAGTCATAAAATTTACAATTATCTTTGTCTCCCTTGGTTCTCTTCAAAATTAATTACACAAGGAGACTGAACCAATCATAATTAATTCATAATACAATATACCAAATTGATTTTCATCCAATGTCTGCAAACATTTTTTTTTTCTAAATACACAAAGACCTCTCTAATATTAATTTTCTTACCTGAAAATGTGTTCTTGCTTTGTCTTTCAAAGTCTTCGTCAAAGATATGCAGGCATCAATTTAGGCAAGCTCTCCATATGGAAGATTTGCTTCTGTTGAACAGCCAAATACAGCAGAAAGACCACATTAATGGAAACTCTTTAAGTAATCAATAACAAACTTTGTAGCATTCCATACAAAACATGGAGGCCTTTTTGCATCACGATTATAAAAGTATTATATGAAGTCTTCCAAAATCTTGATCCAAATAATCAATTTTTATCGGCCCTAATCATGAAACTGCATTTTTCTTTTTGTTATTTGGATATTTTATGGCCTCAGCATCTTTTTAGTCCTTTAAAACAATTAGTGGGGTTAAAATTAAACTGATTGAATACTTGTGTGTAATTAGGATTTCCTTCTTACAGTAATAAATCTCCTACCTTTTTTGTGTAATTATCTACCACACATATACCATAAAAATTCATTGTTTTATATGCTGCACCTGTTTTTTGCCAATATGAATACATTATACATACATGTATATTGATTGTCTGTATATTAAATCATTACATGTATTGTATTGATAATTTCATTTTGTCTGTCACATTTTTGTTAATATTGCAAACCTAATTCTTTTAAATTTTAATTCAATTTTACGAATGTTTAACTGTACTTTAAATTTTCAAAATCAAACACCTTCTATTTAAAATTCCCTGAAAATTATAATTTACATGTACAAATTTGAATATATTTTATTGCAATAATAGAATATAAAACATATATACAATGGGATTGGGCACAATTTTGTTCTGACATTGAACAATATGATTTACTTACCTCTACACTTTAAATAAACTGTGAACTCCTGATTTCAGTGTATTATCAGTGATGCTATGGCTTAGGAAGTGGGCTGAACTACATATAAACATGGCACTTTCAAGCTTTTTAAATAACCACAATAATATGATCCATCTAAAATGAGATGTACAAAATGTAGTCAATCAATTAATGCCAAATTAATAATTTAACATAACTCAAATATAATGCAAACACTCCAGTGTAAAAATTCTGCTGAACACTTATCTTTTGGCTTTATATTAAATGTATTGACTATTAGCTTAAATTTAAACATGGCACTTTCAAGCTTTTTAAATAACCACAATAAAATCCATCTAAAATGACCCCCTCTATATATATATAAATGTATATATAATCAATTAATGCCAAATTAATAATTTAACATAACTCAAATATGATAAAATTTCAGGTGCCTGTGGTTTAGTGTAAAAATTCATAGCTTAAATTAATTGTCTTTTGGCTTTAGCAAAAAAATTATTGTATTCACAATGTTACTTGGCTGACAAATAGATTTTTAAGGCACTTGAATTTTTAGGGCAAGTACATGGTCAAGATGACTTGCCCTACCTGAATTTTTGCTAACCCCTCTATATATACATATATAAATACAGTATATTATATATTTCATAACAAGAGGAAGACAAATATTTAGTGACTAAGCCCCTATGCCCAGCTTTATTGATAAAAATTACATATTGATTTTACTTTTGATAAGATATTTCCACTTCATTGCTTAAAATAGTTGTCTCTTTTAGTTTTGGCAGCAAAATCATAACGATTCACAGTGTTACTTTTTATTATCAAATAATTTAATTTTCTTTTCTTACTGCAACCCCTTTTATTAATTAGGCTAGTTTATTAGCCTTTCTCTCTATCTGGTTTTGGACTCCCACAACTTTGGATTTTCATGATAGGATTTAGTAACTGAAAAGTAAATAATCAATAATATTAGAAGATAAGAAAGAGCAATTAACCCATAAATAATACTTCCTGTTAAACCAGTTTGAAATTGAAGATGACCAGTAACCTTGCCTTAAGAAACATGCCTCGTAGTGTACAACCAAGACGTTTTAATGGACATAAATTAGAGCAGAATATTGATATCTAAAGTCTAAAATAATCCTACCTTAAATTTTGTCTGATGTAAATGGACTAACGTTAGCCGTCTCATACAGATGACCGGATCAAACTTTTCCCGCGAAAAATGTTGCCATAATCTGGATCTTAAAAACGCTTATGATATCACTGTTTAAACTTATTTGTGTGTGTGTATTTATCAGAAAAACTATGATTTAGCAATATTATTAATTTCTATTAACTTGAAAATATCTGTGTGAAAAAAATCTGAGCCACATGCTAGTGATACGATTATGTTGAAAATTGTTCGCTTACAGTTGAACCTACTTTTACCCGATTCATCATAAACTAGGTTCTAGCTGTTGGAGTACCAGTTTATTGCACGGGGTCAGCTGACAAGTGCGCGTAGTTCAAACGGATTTGTTAAACAAAACAGGTAAAAATGAGATTGTTGTTACAAAGTTAATCAGACAGATTTAAAGATTTCTTTCGCTAGAAGAACTTTAATTGTTTCACTTAATATCTTTTATGTAACTGATATGTTGACTAATGACTGTTTAATCGTGAAAATCGATTCGCAGACGGAGTATTCACACTCAAAATAAACAATAATTTGAATAAAACAGTTTTCCTATTGTGCCGTGTGTTTAAAATAATAAAAAAATGAATATAGATCTAATATTTACCTGAAATTTTATGAGTTGTTAATATGATTTTAGGATGATGACCAACGAAGCAGGATGTTTTGTGTTAAACTGTTGTGACAAAGAAGTCAAAAAACATTTGAAATCGATCCAAGATCACATACAGAATCATGAATCAGGAAGGTTTAATCCTCCTTCAGGTAATATGTTTTCTGTTATAATGAATAAAAAATATAAATTATAACGTATCATAATATAGTACTAAAGCCACAGTACGGTCATTATAACTATTCAGATACATTCATGGTGATGAACATGTGCTGAATTCAGATACACCTAAAATTAAGTTATCCAGGTTGAAATATATATTATTATTTACAATGTCTTAAATTTGCCAGGATATATAAACCAAGTCATGCACATTTTTTTTCAAAGTGCATTAATATTGATGTTAACATGGTTAAGGCACCATGAAAATATAAGTATTATTTTTTCAAACGTGTACGTTAACATGGTCCCAACAAATGCAGTGACGCCATTTTTGCCGGTGACTTATGGCACATGTCTGTACTTTATTCTTTAGATACGGACATGAAAAAGATTACTATCATCAACTGTGAAGATATGGTGTGTGAAGATGCTTACAGTATATCAGAGTACTTCATATTTCTGTGTCGGAAATATCACCTTTTACACAATGAAAGAAGCACTCTCCTTTCTTCAATGGATCAGCTGATTGCTCTGCAGCTTTGTCTTGCAGAGAAGAACAAGGAGGTACAGAATTTATTGGAGTTTTAGTCAATGATACAGGATTCTAAAATTTTAAATATTTACTACTGCCTCAGGAGAAAGTGAAACTGCATGGGTCATGTCAAATTGATAATCATCAGCTAATGTAAAATTTCTGTAGTTTATATTGATACAGTGTATATGAAAGAAATGAAATACAGTTTTGAAAGCAAAAAGAAAAACCCACTTAAATGAGTATGCAAAGTATGAATTTAATTTTTTTTCTGGCAATTTAATCATGAACATTTTATGATTTCAGGAAAGGGGAGAATTTGACATAGAAACAAGCACAGTCTTTGAAAGTAATAAAGAAATCATCAAGGCCAAACTTCAGTCATCAGACACTGTGGAACTGCCAGAGATTTCAGAGAGTTATCAGAAGTTTCTACAGCATTGTAACTATGTGGACACGTGTGAAGTGGTCAACCTAGTACAAAAAGCATGTGCTGATAATACATGTAATAATTTCCAGGAAGATCTGTCCAAGAACCATTACCTATTTCTTGGTTTACCAAATGATCCTGTTGAGGTAACAGTAGTATAGTGAAGTAATTCAGTTAGATATTATTTTAAGCAGTAAAACTTTGAAGAACCCAGTAAAACACAGTATAAAAGAATACTTATTAGGAATAATTTTAAATTCATTTACCATTTCTTTTGCATGTATGATCTTGGGGACAGGAGGAAGGATGAACTTATTTCATTTAAAGTTTATCCCTGACTGACCCCGAAACATTATCCCTAATGAATTTTCAATTTAGGGAGTTTTACAAGAATTGTCCATATGGACTCAACTTAAAATAACAAGCTAATTCAGAGAATTCGTGTCCCTCGCTTAGGGAAAAATGTGTTATTTCAGATCCCCCTGACTGAATTTGTAGAATTATTAAAAGTATACATGTATACTGAAGCAAATAAAATACATGTATGTCAATATGCATATAATGATTTGATTGTTTATTCTTTATTATGTGTATAGTAGATTCTTTATATATGGAATATTTATCACACTGTAATGATGATTTTATAACCTCATAAATTTTTCATTTCACATGCTGAATACTATCATTTAGTAAAAAAAAAAAAAAAGAAAAGTATTTAAAAAAAAAAAAAAGGATCGTCCGAGATTCGATCCCGGGTCCTCTCACATGTGAAGCAAGAGACATACCACTAGACCACGGAATCGCTTTACGTTGAGTGAAGTATATGCAGAACTGAAGTCACATACATGTACATATTCATGTTCGGTATTCTCAAAATTTTACACAATTCATGGTGTTTGATTTATTTTGCCTTTATTAAACAGTTCTAATAGATGTAATAAGAACATAAAGTCCGTCGAGAACCTGTTTTATACGCAAGAGCTCTCCTCATGCCCCTGTGCTAAAAATAGCGACATGTAATACTATAAATACTAATAAAACAAACGGGGCGGGGCACTTTGAGAGGGGTGAGAGAGGTTCTAGGGAGTTCTGGTATAAAATTACATTCCATAAGCTCAAAATCTACTTGAAATATCGCCCAGAAATGATAGTGTTACACACAGACAGAATGTATAAATTTACGACCTTGAACTTTGACCTTTTGACCTCAAAATCGATAGGGGTCTTCATTAGGCCACAGGAAGTTGTTATGTAAACTTTCATTGTGATAGCTCAAATGGTTCTAGAGATATCATGTGGAAACGAAAGTGTTATTACAGACAGAATTTGCTTATTTATTACCTTGACCTTTGACCTTTAGACCTCAAAATCAATAGGGGTCTTCTTTAGTCCATAGGGAGTTGCTATGCTAAATTTCATTGCAAAAGCTCAAAGGGTTCTCGAGATATCGTGTGGAAACGAAAGCGTTACAGACAGACAGAAAGACGGACAAACCCAAATTAATATCCCCCACTTTTCAAGCGGGGGACAAAAAGACAAATGACTATATTTCCATGGAACTGAACAAAAAACGTGTTATTTCAGATTGCCATGATCAATCTGCTTTGTAAGGACAAGGCTGTGTACAAAGTGAACATTGAGGTGTCTTTAGAGGAGGAGGGGCAGGGGGGAGATGTGAACGTGTGCTCTACAGCTTCCTCCCTGGACAGTCTGATTTCACAGAAGACGAAGTGGAGGGGGATCGGTACTCCTGGTCCCTCAAAGTCTGTTGTGTCCATAAACCAGGTTTGTCACCATTTGAACTGCAGATGAACTTTTTTATCTCATAAGTCTCCAATTATTTTGGAAAATATCAAGTTATTCATATTTTTGATGTGTATGGGATATAAATGTGTACAGAGAAGAGATTATCATTTCTTAATACAGTATTAATTTTGGGGGGGGCTCATAGAATTAATCTTTGATCCATTTTAATTGACAGATGTATGTCCAACTAGTGTTTGTGGCTTATTTGGAACTGCTAGTGAACTCCAGGTCAGAACTTGCCCTAGCTAGGTCCTTTAATGTACCAGAGCGAGAGCTTGGGTTATCTGCCTTCACCGATCTGAAACATGAATCCCAGAAGAAGAATATGCCTATGTACCAGGTAATCAATAGCAAATACATGTACAACTTTTACACAACATAAAGCTCGCTAATGGACCAAGTATATGATAATAATCTGTGACCTAAAAGGATTTTTTGGGGAGAGGGGTGTTCACAGGCAATGGCATAATTTCAAAAATTGCAGAAATTTTGTGGAAGTAATTTTTGTTTCAAACATTGAATGATATTAAATTTCAGACAGCCACCTCTTTTATTATGAGAGTCAGACTTGGGGGTAAAGGTTACAAACCAGATCCGTCCCTACCAATAACCCAGCATACAAAGGGACTGAGTGACTTTATCACCCTGACACATAAACTACAGACCATAGTAGAGGAGGAGGAGAATACAAGGTAAAACCTACTGCTATCTCACTGAATAATGAAAAGCTCTTCACTGATGTGCCAATCTGCTGATCTGTAAGATACATACATCTTTCATTGCATGTCTGACATTCTCTTTGAAGATCTTAAAGGAATTGAGGAGTTGCATATACTTATCAGATGTTTATCACACTTTGATTATTTATGAATTTACATTGATGGTTTACAGGGTCGCCTGTAGAAAGGTGCTTAATGTTTTGAAGAAAGAGATCAGTAAATCTGAGGATAAGAGGATTCAGAACTCCACTGTTGAGACAGTTTGTGAGACTCTTCAGAAGAGTGCAGTGCAGGTCATACAGAACACACAGATAAACAGTCCTCCCAAGGTACATGTACTAATATAAGGAAGTCTGAAGTCTGTCATAGTCTCAGTAAAAAGAATAAGGGGGGGATAATATACTGTTTGAGCAATAGTGTGTTTAATTTTACAATATTTGACAAATATGCTCAAGGAGAGCATTTCCTTGTACACATATATCAAATGTGTGAAATTCAGATAAAAAATTGACCATTTTTTCCCTTCCCATCTTTCATTAAAGGGACAGTTTAATTTTACATTCAAAATTAAATGCTTATTTTGGCCTTTTATTTTAAAGAAATCAACAGGAGGCACCCCTTTGGGTTACAAGACATTGAGGGCAATCCATCACTTGGTGGATAAACTGGTCACTGGTGCAGATGTCCTCAAAGCTAACTCCCTGGATGTCCTGTGTGACAGTTTCTCTAACCAGCACACACCTGTCAGGTTTCCCTGTCTCCTGTCACAGTTCAGGTAAGTATATTTGAAGCCAAGCTTGAATAATTGTGTATTTGTTTTAATCATCAATCGGCATGTACTACTTAAGTGATTGGACAAAAAGCAGTGTCAAGGGTGCCAAAATACCGTATAACGGGTATTTTTTACGTGCTGCTAAATTTTACTAATTTTTACGAGTTTTATAAATCCGTAAAAAATAAACGCGTAAAATTTCACATAATTTATAAAACGGCTAGTATAAATTTTCAACATAGTATTGTAAAAGTAATGCTAATTGTCATTAAGGCTATATATTATTAAGGTACTGTTGGTATTTTGAGCACTTTTAAGTCAATCATCAATTGGGATCATAAGGGTAAATCTCAATTAACTTGTATAAGTTATACAAACATCGCCAATTAATTAATCAGGTAGACCTACCTGGTTACTCTTTTTTAAGTATTTTTACGAGACGCATGACTTCTGATAATGACTTAATAATTACAGGTCTTCCAATTATACCCATGCATGTTTTCAATCTTTGACACTTTCTTTTGTTTCATGTGCTTTGAATTAAAACTTCGACTTCTTAATAACACTGTACATATAAATACTTTCACTTCAATTATGATAGTTTGAGTTGTCTTTCTTTGTTTTCGGTAAATACCAGATAAGCAAGTGGTGTGCCTATAGCTATGTTTTTATAAAACATGTATAAATGAAGGGCACGTGGTTCGTGTATATAGAGGTAAATGATAACAAAAATTAAATATTATGTAATTTGTTGCATTGTTTATAATTATTGTTAAAATTTAATAAATATCTCTCTCTCTATCTCTTAGATCGAGTTTGCGCAGTATTTGTACGTAAATGCATTCAAAGTGCTAACAATCAATGATCAAGGAATTTTACATCTGATGATTTTTATTTTTACGGACATATTCAATTCGTAAAAAATTAACGCATAAAAATTTAAATCACCCTTTTTTGACCAAAATTCGTAAAAATTTACAGCAGTAAAAATTACCCGTTATACGGTATGACAATCAGGGTACCACTACAATAATTTTTTTACAGTAATAATCAGCATTCACTGAGAAACATCTTGTAATTTTCTAGCCGGATACTGAAGGCATTGACAAAGTAAATTTAACTTAAACATATTGGAGATTTGGTATTAAAATCTTCAAATTTTTTTTCAGAACTCCTTGTGATGATATAGACAGCCCTGAATTGAACAAGTCACTTGCTGAGAGACTATTAGAGAAACAGAGAAAAGAGGTAAACTTATCGACATTTACCACTGAAAATAAAACATATGCCCAATAGATTTATAGCTTGTAAAGATGGTCAGCTTGTTGTAAGTGGATTTTGAGTGATTCTTACATATAATTCTTTCCGTCAGACTCCATTACATGCCAAGTGGTACAAGGCCACGATGGACTGGGCAGCTCCTCTCCATGACGTCCAGATGACAGACGAAGCTGAGTCATATAAGTGTCAGAAGTCTACTTATGTCTTACCAAGGTAATGATTAACAGTTTGGATCACCGTGGTATAAATGTCCATATCTTCAAGAACTGGAGGATAGGGGGATCAAAAAAACATCAACACCAAGATCAACTGCATTTCAATAACTTGATAACTTGACATGAAGCCTGTTGGTTCTTTAGAGTTATAGAGTTAATTATCTACCAAACATAAAAAAGAAATTGAATCTTTTTTAAATGAAAACCCTGGTATTTGAAAATTATTAACCAAATGAATTTTTTCACTGAACAGCAAGACACTGGTGCAGCCAGCGAGTGCTTCCAAACGAGTGGAACTCCCAGGTCTGAAAGAAAGAACCTCCCAGGAATCTAACAAAGACAAGGAGGTGGACTTGACCAGTGATCTCAAAGACAAACCGCTGAGCCAGGAATCAAGGCAAGAAGAACCTGTCTCCAACAGTGATGATGTAGAAAATCATAAAGAGGTTGGGGGTAAAGCCAAGAAAAGACCAGGACCAGAACCTTGTGAAAAAGAACCCAAGAAAAAGAAAACTATAACTCAGGGGAAAAATTGTCGTAGGAAACTGTTACCTCAGATCAAAGGACAACAGCAAATCAACAGGTTCTTTAGGATGTAGATACAGAGTAGACTGGGTTGTGGGGGATATTTTATTGTCTCTATTTATTACTTTTTTTAACTATTTATTTTATACAATATTGATATTACCGATACAATTGCTAGATATTGATGGGAGTGAATTTGTAACTATTGCTTAATGGACTTGTGCAATAAATAAAATTAGGAACTTTGATTTTAGCACTTCATTTTCTTAATAATATACCCATACCTGCATAGTGACCCGCACTCGGTGGGTCACACCCACAAAACTGACCTCTCACTAATGACCCATGGTGTGTCATTGTTTTCACCCTCAAAATCAACCTTCCCCATTTTTTTGACCCAAAAAGCAAAATTATACCTGCATGTCTACAGCAGACCTTGACTTTTCCAAGACTTTGATTTCAGGTAACAGAAATAATCCTATCACGTACATGTAGGGTGTATCAGAAAAAAGGTCTCTGTATGTAACAAATAAATACAAAACACAAACAAACAAAATACATATAAAACATACCAGTAATTGAGCTTCAGAGAGCAATTTTATTTTGAGTCAATGCTATTGAATGTAATACTTACAGATTTCTAAATTCAGAGTGAAGAAAACAAAAACAGATAATCACAAATCATTCAAATATTAAAGTACAAGTAAATGTTCTTTATAGAGCCTTTATCTCTAGCTATAAAATGAAAACTACACATCCTTGGTGTTTTACACGTCTTCAAAAGATATACACATGTATATACAAAGTTAACAAGCACATGTAAATTTGATCATTTGTAAAGAATACATTTTCAAATATAGATAAACTACTGGCTTTGTTCAGAAACAAAAACAAATCCCATTTCTGATAAAACAATAAACAAAAATTCTGGGAATTTTTAGACAGCCATTGTATTTCATGCATAATTTAAGACAATCGATCAAATAATTCAATGATAAGACAAATAATGTTAAAGTTAATTCATAGAATAAATACACTGTAATCATAAAGCAAAACTCTAATTCATTACCTCCTTGAATTCCTCAATAAATGATCAATACTTTTTGGACAATATTCAATATATGTATAATCTCCAATATAATCTACAATATTCAATATAATCTACAGGTTAGCACTTTATAAATACTACATTAATCTATCACAACTCTTAATATCTGATATGAAAAATCATAAATTAGTACTCTCATGTCAAATGAGTTGTATATTATGCAAATTATCAAATTATGAAAAACATAAATCTCTGATGAGACTGTAGCTCTACCGGTTTGCACCATATCAGAGGAAGAAAAAAGTAACACATGGATTTGAACTCAACTGCGGGAACCAAAGTACACTTTCTGTTGCAATAAGTAACCATTGCGAGGCAATCAGATTTTAAAAAGAAAATCTACAGTAATATGTATATTTGTTTAGTCTGTATAAATACTTATTTCAATAGTCTACAGCCCACAGGTACTTGTGGACAGGACCCCCCCCCGATATTCAACCCCGGGGCTTATTTGACATTTTTTTCACAATTTATATTTAGTACACTTATTCAACATGTTTGCAATAGGAACAAATCATCAAAACCCCAAAATAATCGCTCCTCAAAAAATACCCCACTATACATTATAAGAGAGAAAGGTAAGCAACTTAGGTTTGTTTACGTTTAGGTAAACGCAACGGAAGTGCCTATTACCTATTATGATAACACCCAAGAGTGATTATTACGTCAGGCAAAAACTCTCTCGGACGTTATCGTAATAAGTGTAACATTCTCTATGCACTTCCGTTGCGTTTACCTAAGGAAATTTGAACATTCTAACTGGAATGCTGTTTGTGGGATTCTTACGTGATGCGGAGTCAATTCGATAGCATTGACTGAGACAGAAATATATGTAGAGACAGCGTGGACTGACATTTTAGGTGAAAATGAAATAAATACAAGTTTTTAAATCCAAAGACCAGTGGGGGTACAACGTAAACAAACCTAAGTTGCTTACCTTCCCTCTTATAATGTATAGTGGGGTATTTTTTGTGGAGCGATTATTTTGTGGTTTTGACGATTTGTTCATATTGCAAACATGTTGAATAAGTGTACTGTAGTCTATAAATATAAACTGTGAAAAAATTGTCAAATAAGCTCCGGGGTTGAATATCGGTGGGGGGGGGGGGGTCCTGTCCACAAGTACCTATGCTACAGCCCTAATAATCCTGTCAGAGTAGTAGTGTTTTGATATAATTTCACTAAAATTTCCAGAAGGCAACACTGTTATTATCTTGATGAAATTCAAGTTTTATTGAAATCTGTTAAATAACTGGAAAGAATATTGTCTTAAAGAATTTTTTATGGCAACACTTCCAAGAAATAAACAGAATTATATACTAGTGTAATCCAGTGTACCAAGTTTTCTTGAAATCGGATCAAAACTGTAGGAGGAGTAGCGTCATGAAAAATTGTTTACCCAAGTAGACAGACAATGGACACTTTACCATTGCAAAAGCTGGTTTCTGACCACCAAAAACTGAAACATATTATACCAAATAAAGTTACAAACAAAAGCATGAACTCATGTAGATATGTGCTTTAGAGTATTTACTCCTGACAAAAATCAGGATAAAGTCTAGTGTAAAAGAAAATTCTAATGAAGCTGAGCTGCAATAATCATAAAGCAAATAAAAATTTTACCCTGCAGTAACACTACTTTTATTAAGTGTGTGCTTATTAATTTGGGGTGTTCTTAAACACTTGGAGTGTTTTAGTCATGTACAAGCCATTTATTTTTGAATGTTTCAGTCACACAGTCAGGAGATTTCATTGAAGGAATCGGTACTTAGTACCCTGTGGTAGTTAGGAGACTTCACAGGAGAGTTGTACAATGGCTGACAACAGTTAAGTCTTTTACAGTAGGCTCGGATTCCTGACTTGAGAGATCTGTAAAACACAAAATACATGTTATCCCCCTTTAACTTGGTGGTCAGTAACTTCCTTATGAATATGACCTGACTCTAAATACTTTTAACCGCTATGAAAAAATGGAAAATAGATTTTGAAAATTCAGCATAGATTTGAAAATTTTCTGTAAGATTCCCTCTGCATTCATCACCACATACCGGTTATTGAGTTCTTTAGAAATTTGTTCCAGGGACTTCCCTCTGGTTTCTGGTACAGCAAAGAAGATAAAGATCACAGACAATGCACAGACAGCACTAAACATCACAAACGTCCAGGATACACCAATGTTTTCTACAAATACAAAAATATATACAGAGTACCTGATAAGAAAACGTTATTTCAAAAGTTTCAGATTTTTTTCCAACCCTAAATTTGAATAAAAGATGGGACAATTTTTTTAGCAAAAACTCTGGCCTATCAAAACTCAAATATGTTGTAAATTTGTTCTGACCCTAAATTTGAATAAAAGATAGAACAATTTTTTAACAAAAATTCTGGCCTATAAAAACTCAAATATGTTGTAAAGAAAATTGTGATGTTCAAAATCTTTTAAACCTACCAAGGATATCCAGAAAAGTGAGTGAGACAATAAGGTTGGTTCCCCAGTTGAGCACAGTGGCAAGAGAAATGGCCCTCCCTCTCACTGAAGCTGGGAAGATTTCACTCAGGATTAACCAAGACACTACAAATTAAACAGTTAATATTAGCAATGAATTAAAATATCACACAAATATACACACTTGTAAGCTTAAACCTAGACAAAATGCATATACACACTGGTATATCTTTTTGAGCATCTTGTACAAATACTGCTATAAATGCTGTTATTTTACTTGTTCCTATACAATCAAGACAACTCTAATTGCTGAAGCACAAAATACAAACCAATAAAACATTTTGCCCAATTTCATATACAATCTACTAATTACCTGGACCAAAACTGAATCCAAAAGCAGCCACATATAACATGAGAGCCGTGAAGGCTGCTATTTTGCCTATGGTAGATCCATGGATGTGTACATGAGGTTCCTCCGTTGTTGTAGCAGTATAGTTATCCATAATGTAAGACAGCCAGTCTGCCTCGGATAATGTGTAAGAATCGTTTATAGAGAACATTTGGGGGGTTGTAGTGTAAAATACTGAGATGTTCCGATTGGCTTCAGTTAATGCCTCTAAACACTGAACACTTTCCTGGCAAGGATTAGATCCATAAATGTGGTCATTTAAATGAGAGATGATCCCCAGGAGGAGGAGGGACACACCCATTAATGTGGCGCCCGCCAAAAGGAATCGGCGACGGCCCCACTT